TGGAGAAAAAAAAAGGAAGCTTTGAAGGATTTTTTTTTTTATGTCAGTGGAACCTCCTTTTGCCACTTGAGATCAGGAGTAGCAATAAAGTCTGACACTTATTATTAACTTACTATTTTCTTCTAGAGATACTTTTTTTTTTTTTGGTACTGGAAATTGAACTTGGGTCATTGCGCTTGCAAGGCAGGCGGCAGCACCACGGGCTAAATCCCCAGCCCCAGAGATACTTTTTGAATGCTCTTTGTAAAAGACACAGTGTTACCTCTGCAGAGCCCATTGGAGATATTGTTTCTGAACCCAGAAAGATGAAGGGAAAGGCAGGAATAGGAAATACGTTTTCATTACTGAGAGCCTTTTTGTACAATATCTGAACAACTATGGCAACACATCTGTGAATAAGATACAGAGTTGCTTATACAGAACCTATAAGGAAAGAGTTATATGAAGCTTATATTATAAGCAAATAGTTGATTATAACTCAATACTCTAAAAAGTCACATGAAGCAATTTAGGAAGGGTATAATAGTTCCAGGGCTATGGACATCTATGGCTATTACTTGTCAGTGGCAGACAGCAGAAACCCAAGATCCCATCTTTTGTTTTTTTCTCCATGGGAGCCACTTCTTTGTCCATCAGCTTTTCCAGTTTGAGAGGAAGCAAGACAACTCGCAGTGGGAAGGCACAGATAACTAGCCTAAATAAAATCTAACTTTGCTGAAATGGGACCTTGCTGGAACTGTCTTCCCTTTAAAAAAATTAGCCTTGTAAAAAATAAGCTTGCAATAAGCCATCTTTCCAGACCTTTGGGGAAAGCCTGCTTGAGAAAGAATCTAACATGGGGAGTACAGGCCACCCTTTCACAAAATTTTACTATGGCAGGAGAAGAGGAATACAACCATAGCTGGAGAGAGATTGTAGTTTCCTAATCTAAACCACTATCTTCTCTTTGATACGGGTCAAAAATCTGATCTTTCTGCTTCCATTCCTGGCTCTGTATGATCTGATCTCCATACAGCACCAATAAGCAGATTATGTAACTGTCCTGCTTAAATAAACCCAATGCTTAGTCTCCCAATGGCTTTCCAATACCATTAGATATTAATCCAGCCCTTGCTATATACCATAAGTCCCTACAGGAGCTACTCTTGTCTATCTGTCCAACTGTTCCTACTATTCTCCTGCTCCTTCACTGTGGATTTAGATATACCTACCTTCCTCCTCTCTCCAGCATATGAAGTCTTGGGGCTTTTTCATCTGTTGTTCTTACTCTCCCTGGTGTGTTCAGCTCCCAATTCTTGCATGACTAGATTTCCTGTAACCCAGCTCAAATATTCCCTACTTAGCAGGCCGTCTGTGACAGAACTATCTAAAATAGCTATCTCCAGTTTGATTCACTGTCTTACTCCATTATACTATACTGTTTTATTTCCCTTACAGGTCTTATTACTTTCTGGATTATGCTGTTTACCTGCTGTCTGTCTATTTTCCCCATTAAAATATAAGCCCCGTGAGAATAGCAACTTTGTTCAGATTTTATTCTTTTATCCGCATGTATGCCAGGCATATACAGAAGCTGCATAAGTCAGTATTTATTGATGAAGGAATCCAGTATATGTTATCAGGTACCAGTATGTCCAGCCCAGAGGCACAGGCCTAGCATAAAAAGCACATGAATTTAATATGAGGGAATTGCTGCCAGTCCCTCCTTCACAGATGATGGCTCCAAACTTTTTTCCTAGTTTAGCAGCCCCTGTCCAGCTTATTTTATATCCTGACTTGCACTCTGTCTGAGAATATGTTTGGATTCTGAAAATGTATCTTGGATTCCCATGATCCAGACTAGGAAACTGGGTAGGACTGGCCTTTGACAACTGCTACTTCTCTTGTGTGCACTGCACCAAGAGCATGGAAAACGCATGCCATCGTGAGCAAATGAGCACCTGCCTGTCTGCCATGATCTGCCCATGGAGGACGATGGAGGCAGCTCAGGCTGTGGGAATGTAGCTGTGAGATCTCAAAGACACATTCAGTCAGGCACAAAATGCTTTGCTCAGACTTTCAAATTTATGCACAACTGGGTACAATTAAAACTTTACTTAATTTTAAATTTTTCTTTGGGAAGCTGATAAAGAGAGGCTATAACATCTGAAAATGCAACATTTATTTTTAGATAATGTTATTCTTTTGCTAGGAAGGAGCAGATTTTCACTGCACTATGGAGACTGACCCTCGTGGTGCCAAAGCCTCTCTGACTTCATCCTGTATACAAATACACTGCCCCCTACACTCCTTTTCCTTGTTTCTTCAAGCCCCTCCCTAGTATCTCCCCATTTTCTTACCAATGTTAGAAGAGAGACACTTACATTTTTAAAACTGGTAAATAATGAGGGCCAAGGGATTAGCTCAGTGGCTCCACCGCCTGCCTCACAAACACAAGGACCCAGTTCAATCCCCGGTACCAACAAAACAAAAATAAACAAACACAAACTTGTAATAATGTTATTAACATTCATTGTTCAAATACCATATCCTAAGCAGTTGATTAACCTTTTTCACAGTACCAAATTGCATTCATTTTACTGATTAAGAAACAGACACACACAGTTTCAGAAACATGACTTTGGGTCATCCAACCAGTAGGTGCTTAGCGTTAGGATTTGAAACAAGGGGCTACAGTATTTGCTTCTAGAGCCCAAGACAGGAACCGCCTTACTCAGCTCAAGAGGGTGAGTGGTTCACCAGCCAAGGAGAGCATGGTGTTAGCACCCTGAGGCTTCAGAATGGGTAAGAAAAGGACCCTACACTGACAAATTAGTAAAAGAAACAGAGAAATCCTTACAGAATAATGGATGAGTGGAACAATAATGATCTGTGCGCGGTAGAAGGACAGCTCCCAGGAAGGGAAGGACGCGGTGCCAGGAATCAGAAACGCAAAATGGCAGGGGAGACAAATGTGACGTCGGGAGGCGAAACCGCAGGTGCCACACAGAGGGAATGGCAGTCAGAAAGAGGCCTGGGAAGGAGGGGCAGGCAACAAGCCCCCCACACCCGCACCAGACAGGAGCCACCAGGAATGGCCCAGGGGCTCCCCACAGCAGGGGGCGGTGCAGGCCTTGCCCAGCGGAGGCGGTGGGGGCGGCTAGCCCGGCAAGGTCCCCGTCGTGACGGCTAAGAGTAAAGGTGCGGAGGCGACAGGGGACCTGGGCGGTCGCCGGATCCTTGAGGCTCTCCCTGGCAGGGACGGGCTCCAGGGGCGTCGCCCTTTCCTCAGCCTGCAGGCTCTCGCAGGTCTGGACTCCGCGCCCGACGGGCTCCAAGAGCGCCGGGAGGACAGAAGCCCGAGAACAGCACCGGCTGGAACAAAGGCGGCGCAGGCTGGCGGAGGAGCCAGGGAAGCTTACCTCATGGCTGCAGAGCTCCGCGGGCAGAGCTGGAGCGGCGGGGTCCTCGCG